GGGGCCCGGGGGTAGCAGGTTATGGACTAGGGGGTGCCAAAAGGTTAGGTTTCTTTTCTTTTTTTTTTTAAAGGAAAAAAAAAAAAAAAAGGGAAAAAAATAAAAAAAAAATAAAAAAAAGAAAAAAAAAAAGGGGGGGCCGGGAAGGGGTTTGTTTTTCCCAGGAGGAATGAAAAGGGGCCCGAAATTCCCTCCGCCCCAAGAGGACCTCAGCACCGCAAGTAGCGCAGATTTAACAAGGAACCCTTTCCATACCCTTTCCCATCATGGGCCCGAAAACCCGGGAATCCGGGATAGCAAACCCACATTGCCGACTAACCCTTTGGGGGACAAAAAGAGAAAGGGCGGCCCGGGAAAACCCCCCAAAAAAGCATACCTCCTTCCGGGCCCCCACCCCCCGGGGAAACCGAAAGGTGGTTTCCCCGAGATTAACCCCCCTCACCTTAGAGACACCCAAAACCACCCCCGGATACCGGAGAGGGATAGGACATCCCAGGCAATTTTAATTTTCCAAAAGGCAAAATTTCGCCACCGCCCAAAAAAAACAACGGAATGGGGTGGACCCCCCGTACCCTTTCCCCTACCCAGGAAATAGGGGTCAAAAAAAAAAAAAAAAAGGCCAAAAAGGAAGGGCAAAAAGGGAGGGGTGGGAGGAAAGGAAAAAAGGGGGGGATGGGGGGGGAGGGATAGGGAAAAAGGGGATTGGGGGGGGGGGGAATGGGGGTTCGGGGGGGGGTTTGGTAGGCCCGGACAGGGGGTTTTTTTAATTCCTCAAAAGAGGCCCTCTTTTCCCCCCCATGCCAAGGAGCCCTCCCTTGAAGAGGTTTTAAAACTTAGGCTGTTCCCTTTTTCAAATTGTCCCAAAAGAAAAAGAAATTAAATTTTTAGAGCTTTTTTTCAAAAGACGGGACGTCACCTTGCCTGAAACTCGGGGAAATTTTCCTTAATATAGAGAAAAACCCACAAACCAAAATTATATCACTACCCCCACGATACAAGTAAAACTGCTAAAACCCCAAAAGCTCGGAGCTAGTGACCCCGTAGGGCCTGAAATTTTGATTACATAGAAAAGTTTCAAGTGGAGGGGAAAAAGGAGTCAAAGGGGGAAAAACCCAAACTATAAAAAAGGGGGGACTACAAAAATATGAGGAAAATTCCCCTTTCAGGAGGTTTAGTGGGACAGAAAAAAGGTAGGTAATTTAGTAAATGGGAAAAGTTGGGAAAATTTTTAAGGGAAAAAAATGCAAGGAGGGCAGAGGAAAAGGGTTTTTTTCCCAAGGGGAAAGAAAACAAAGGGAAGACCCAAAAACAGTCCTTGGTTTCCCCAAGGTGCAGGGAGGCAAAAACTAAGTGCATTAGAGGAAAGGAAAGGGTTTTAGAAGGCAAAAGGGCCGGGAAAACCCAAAGGGGATCAGTTTTGAAGACCCATATGCTACAGCATAAAGGGGGCCCGGCAAAACCCGAGAATAGCGTTCCGATACCTTTGAAAAAATGTTCAAGACACTGTACATGTGTACATCAGGCCCCTACTGGGGGATGCAAAACACCCGTTTTGGGAAACCCCCCCCCTGGTCAAGGGACGTCAAGAAAAATTTGAGAAAGTGCAAAGATTTTCAACAAGGGTTGTTCCCGAGTCAGGGGGAATTTTCCTACGAAGAAAGGCGGGGGAAAACGGACTGACGACCGGGGGACAGGAGGGTTTAGGGGAGACATGAAAGACATACAAAATACTGCATGAAATAGATAAGGTGGATAGAGAAGGTTGTTCCCGAGAGGGGACACAGAAAAAAAAGGGGTCACAATTGGAAGCTGAAAACTCAGACGAGTCATACAGATGTTTGGAAAAATTTTTTCGTCATAGAGTCGTCAGGAAGTAGAATAGCCCCAGCAAGTGATGTAGGGAGGCAAACCCTACCTAGCTTTAAGATGAATTTTGGGCAAAGCCGGGGAAACAAGAGTTGGGGGGGAACCCAGTAGCGGGTCAGTTGAAGAGGCAGGGGGGAGTAGCTTTTAGGGCCCCAACCCCCCGCAACCCCCCAATTTGGTAAATAATTTTTTACACTAAATCTATAAAAATTTTTTATACAGCTGGGAAAGTGAAATTATTTCATCGTTTCTGCATTGAAAGGGGGGTTTTGGGAGTGCCTGTGAATTTTTTTAAAAAACACCACCTAAATACTAATTTCCCTTTATATTTTTTATTAGATAGAGACCCAAATTTTGGGAGACGAAACAATAAAAAATTTCGTTCCGTTACGTATTACTAACATAGAAAATCAAATATGAAAAAAAAAAAGTGAAAATTAAAAAACGGTTTTTTAATTTATTTTTAAAATTTCACTTTAAGTATGTTCAAAAATTTTTCCCCAACTATGAATTTGGAAAAATGTATGCTGCAATTGTTTTTTTGTAAATTTTTTATAAATTTGATCTTTTTTAATAATTTGTGTATATTTTTTGTAGTAAATGAAAAATAGACTAGTTTTTATGTTTATTTTTTTGCATTCTTTACATAACCTTTCATTTTTTTTTCAGTTCAAATTGGCAAAAAAAAGTTTTCCCCTAACCCCGTTGAAAAAAACCTGGTTTTAAGTGGATCTACATGTTTTAAACCGGGGTTATTCAAAGGGTCCCAAATGTTTTATATATTTTTTTTTTTAAAATTTGCCCTTGCCCCCCCGTTTTCTTATTAATTTTAAAAGCCCAAAAAACATAGTAAAGATAATACGGTGAAAATTCCCCAAAAACCAGAAACAGGAGAGGAGCTCTTGGAGGATATGAACCTGTACAACTCCCTGATCAAAATATTTATAAAATGCAGAGTTTGCTGTTAAAGGGCAATGGATTTCCGAGGATTAATTTATCCCAATGTCAGGGTTGTTTTAGAAAATTTATCATGCTCAAAAGCAGGTTAGTAAAAATTAAATTTTTGTGGGTAAATACAACACAGTATTAAAGTTTCAAATTTTTACCTAAAAAAAGAATTGCTGGATATACCCTTTTAAAGGTGTTTAATATTTTTAAAAAATTAAAAAGCAGAGGATTATTTTATTTAAAGCATTTATTTTTTTTTGGCAATGTAAGTGGAAAAAAAACTGGAAGTTTTAAATACAGCTGAGGTGGCAACTTTAGGGAAAATGAACAATTTTAAAGGAAATTGCGCACAAGTGAGAAGGGCCCCAATTTAAACCCCGCAGTATTTGTGGTTATTGTTTATTTAAGTACCCTGGAAAAAACCACCCTGGAAGTGACTAACACCCTCATGTACAAATTTTAGAAAAATAAAAATTAGTAATTAAGGAGGATACCCTTTAAATTTAAAAATTTTAAACCCTTTCCATTTCTGTACAAGGGTTTTTTTTCACAATGCTTTGGGGGGGGAAAAAAAATCAGGCCCGTCACACTTACTTTATAAATTTTTTGTTTCAACCCAAAATATTAAATTTTTCAAATTATTTTTATGTTCCCTAAACCCAAAAAATCTTGGTTTGGGATCTATGCATTTGTTTCATCTCAAAAATTTTTTTTTGTAATTGTTTGTTTGGGGGGTGTACCTAACTACTTTTCTAAAAAGGCCCAGCCTATACTGAGGGTTTTCAGCCCAGATGATAATTTTTAAATTCCAACTGGAATTCCCACAGTCCCTTTTTAAGGGGGGAATGCCCCCTTATGAAAAGCCAAAAATTGAATTTAAAATATTTATTAAAAATTTTAAAATTACTAAAACTTAAATTTTTCCCCCAATTTTCCCCGCTGATATGCCAAATATCTTTTACAAAGGGCCTGGGGAAAATTTCTGTGAATTTTTGCGAACCTTTTTAAAATGATCGAGCCCTGGCTATTGGGAAGAATAAATTTACCCGAAAGAGCCTTTTTTTATGTAGCTTCCCAAACAGTCCAAAAGTTGTTAGCGTCCCGTTCATGTTTTTAAATCTCCAAAATTTAAATGAATCTCTTTTCTAGAGGCGGGTTTTTCTAATGACCATACTGTCACCTTGAATGTATACGTATTTTAAATATTGGTATTTCTTTTCTTGGGTGAAATTTTTGGGTTTTTTGTGGAGTGCCTTTTGATTATGTTTTAAAGAACAAAGGCCCCCAAGAAAACCAATCCCATTTTTATTTTTATTATTATTAAATAAAGACAATTTCTGGTAGATTTTTTTTTTTTTCAACAAGTCGGCCGTCTCCCACTGAGGCAGGGTGACCCAAAAAAGAAAGAAACTCCCCAAAAAGAAAATACTTTCATCATCATTCAACACTTTCACCACACTCACACATTATCACTGTTTTTGCAGAGGTGCTCAGAATACAACAGTTTAGAAGCATACACATATAAAGATACACAACATATCCCTCCAAACTGCCAATATCCCAAACCCCTCCTTTAAAGTGCAGGCATTGTACTTCCCATTTCCAGGACTCAAGTCCGACTATATGAAAATAACCGGTTTCCCTGAATCACTTTACTAAACATTACCCTGCTCACACTCCAACAGATCGTCAGGTCCCAAGTACCATTCGTCTCCATTCACTCCTATCTAACACGCTCACGAACGCTTGCTGGTAGATGAATACAATAAATTACAGTATATACTGTATATATATATTTTTTAAATTTAGCATTAACTGTTTAAATATTGACTTTACAGCCAAGATCATAGTAATGATAATACTGATGAACTACCAAGCATCAGGAGGAGGAGAGCAGCTCTTGGAGGATATGAACCTGTACAACTCCCTGATCAAAATATTAATAAAGTAGCAGAGTTTGCTGTTAAGTCGATGGATGCAAGGATTAATGACCTTAATGTCAGGGTTGTCGAGAAAGTTATCAGTGCTCAAAAGCAGGTCAGTAAATTTAATTTAATGTGGGTATATACAACACAATATTAATGTTATTTAAAAAAAAGTCTTACAAGAAAAATGAGGTGTTTAATATGTAATTATGAAAATGCAGGGGATTCTTGTATTTATGTGATTATTATTATTTTGAGCAGATAGTAAGTGGCATAAACTGGAAACTTCAAGTACAGTTAAGCTGGACAACATGTAGGAAAGAGGAAAAAGTTCAGGACCTGAGCACCTGTCAGAAGGACCCCAGTAAACCCAGCAGTATTTGCAATGTTATTGTTTATGAAGTACCATGGAAAAACCATATGGAAGTGACTGACACATCATGTACAACTGTGGAAGATGATACGTGAGTAATTATAAAGCATACTTGAGAAAAGCTTAACCTTACCATTACTGTACAAGGTTTATTTTTACAATGATGTGTGCAGTCAACAACTCACACTTATTTTATGTTTTACTTTCACAACCAATTTAATATATTTAGTATATCTCTGCTGTCAAAAATGTCTTTGCAAGCAAAGTATCCTGGTTTGTATCTATGCATCTGTTTTCTCTCAAACTGATTTTTTGTAATTGTTTGTTTGTTTGCTTCACAACTTGCTAAAATATCCTCAGCTTATAGTGAGGTTTGCAGCTAGACTGATATTAACACTTAATAGAAAAGCTTTCATTTTTCTTTTTAGGTCACCTAGCCTTGGTGGGATATGTCCGGGTCGTTAAAAAAATAAAAATTTAATATTTTTTTAATTTAGCATAAAGTTAACTGTTTACATATTAATTTTACAGCCAAAATCACAGTAATGATAATACAGGTGAACCACCAAGCATCAGAAACAGGAGAGGAGCTCTTGGAGGGTACGAGCCTGTACAACTCCCTGATCAAAATATTGATAAAGTGGCAGAGTTTGCTGTAAGGTCAATGGATGCAAGGGATAATGACCCTAATGTCAGGGTTGTTGAGAAAGTGATCAGTGCTCAAAAGCAGGTCAGTAAATTCAATTTCATGTGACTATATACATTATTAATGTCATTTTATATAAACAAATATTACTAGATATACAATAAATGGTGTTCAATACGTAATTATAAAAAGGTAGAGTAATCTTGTATTTATGTGACTTATTATTTTGAGCAGATAGTAAGTGGCATAAACTGGAAGTTTCAAATACAGTTGAGCTGGACAAAATGTAGGAAAGAGGAAAATGTCCAGGACTTGAGCACCTGTGAGAAGGATCCCAGTAAACCCAGCAATATTTGTGATGTTATTGTTTATGAAGTACCATGGAAAAATCACATGGAAGTGACTAACACGTTATGTACAACTGCGGAAGCTAATAAGTGAGTAATTATAGAGCATACTTGAGGAAAGCTTAACCTTATCATTACTGTACAAGTTTTATTTTTACTATGCTGGGTGCAGTCAGCAGCTCACACTTATTTTATAGTTTCCTTTCACAACCAAAATGTTAAATTTTGCAATTTATATATTCATTCTCTCTGTGCAGTCAAAAATGTCTTCATAAGCAAAGTATCTTGGTTTGTGTCTACGCTTTGTTTCATCTTAAATGATTTTTTAATTGTTTGGGTTTACCAACTATTTTTTTTTATTATCACACTGGCCGATTCCCACCAAGGCAGGGTGGCCTGAAAAAGAAAAACTTTCACCATCATTCACTCTATCACTGTCTTGCCAGAAGGGTGCTTTACACAAGTTTTTAAAATGCAAAAAATTAACACCCCTCCTTCAGAGGCAGGGATTGTACTTCCCACTCCAGGGTCAAGTCCCCCTGCCGTTTCCCTGAACCCCTTCATAAAAGTTCTTTGCTCACATCCCAAAAGCAAAAGTCAAGTTTAAAAAAAATTTTTTCCCATTCACTCCGATCAAAAACGCTACGCTGCCCGCTGAAGTCCAAAACCCTCGCACCAAAACCCCCTTTTCCCCCCCCCCTCCAACCTTTCCTAGGCGACCCCTCCCCCCCTTCCTTTCCCCTACAGACGATACACTCTGAAGTTATTCTTTTTTGCTCCATTCTCTCCACATGCCGAAACCACCTCAACAACCCTTCCCAGCCCTGGACAACAGTTTTGGTAATCCCCCCCTCCCCTAATTCCCAAAATACAAATTCTCCGCTTAATTTTACACCACACATTGCCTAGAATGACATCTCCACTGCCCCAGCCCTTTTCCCGCTGAAATTCATCACCCTGCTTCACACCCTATAAGAAACGTTTTGGAAAACTATACTCTAACATTTCCCCCCTTTGCCTCCCAAGGGGCAAATTTTTGTCACCACGACCCAAAGTGGGACCACTCCCCTTTTCCCCTCATCTTTAGATTCACCTACTTTTTATAGACCCATCCGCTGACACTCCCCCTCCCAAATACTGAATACATTCACCTCCCCATACTCCTCCCCCCATCTGAATCCAATCTTTCTCACCTAATCTTTTTGTTATCCTCATAACCTTACTCTTTCCTGTATTCACTTTCAATTTTCTTCTTTTGCACACCCTACCAAATTCATCCACCAATCTCTGCAACTTCTCTTCAAATCTCCCAAGAGCACAGTGTCATCAGCAAAGAGCAACTGTGACAACTCCCACTTTATGTGTGATTCTTTATCTTTTAACTCCACGCCTCTTGCCAAGACCCTCGCATTTACTTCTCTTACAACCCCATCTATAAATATATTAAAACAACCACGGTGACATCACACATCCTTGTCTAAGGCCTACTTTTACTGGGAAATAATTTCCCTCTTCCTACATACTCTAACTTGAGCCTCACTATCCTCGTAAAAACTCTTTCACTGCTTCAGTAACCTACCTCCTGCACCATACACCTGCAACATCTCCCACATTGCCCCCCTATCCACCCTGTCATATGCCTTTTCCAAATCCATAAATGCCACAAAGACCTCTTTAGCCTTATCTAAATACTGTTCACTTATTTGTTTCACTGTAAACACCTGGTCCACACACCCCCTACCTTTCCTAAAGCCTCCTTGTTCATCTGCTATCCTATTCCCCCGTCTTACTCTTAATTCTTTCAATAATAACTCTACCATACACTTTGCCAGGTATACTCAACAGACTTATCCCCCCATAATTTTTGCACTCTCTTTTATCCCCTTTGCCTTTATACAAAGGAACTATGCATGCTCTCTGCCAATCCCTAGGTACCTTACCCTCTTCCATACATTTATTAAATAATTGCACCAACCACTCCAAAACTATATCCCACCTGCTTTTAACATTTCTATCTTTATCCCATCAATCCCGGCTGCCTTACCCCCTTTCATTTTACCTACTGCCTCACGAACTTCCCCCACACTCACAACTGGCTCTTCCTCACTCCTACAAGATGTTGTTCCTCCTGCCCTATACACGAAATCACAGCTTCCCTATCTTCATCAACATTTAACAATTCCTCAAAATAATCCCTCCATCTTCCCAATAACCTCTAACTCTCCATTTAATAACTCTCCTCTCCTATTTTTAACTGACAAATCCATTTGTTCTCTAGGCTTTCTTAACTTGTTAATCTCACTCCAAAACTTTTTCTTATTTTCCCAAACAAAATTTGTTGATAACATCCACCCACTCTCTCATTTGCTCTCTTTTTACATTGCTTCCCACTCTCTTAACCTCTCTCTTTTCCTCCATATACAGTGGACCCCCGCATAGCGAACTTAATCCGTGCAAGAGGGCTGTCGTTATGCGAAATGTTCGCTAGCGAATTAATTTTCCCCATAAGAAATAATGGAAATAAATTAACCCGTGCAGACACCCAAAAGTATGAAAAAAATTTTTTTTACCACAAAAAAATGTTAATTTTAGTACCCCACAAACTGAAAAAGGCATGCAAAATTTACATGACACTTACTTTATTGAAGATCTGGTGATGATTTGATGGGAGGGGAGGAGGGGAGAGAGAGTGTTAGTGTTTGAAGGGGAATCCCCTCCATTAGGACTTGAGGTAGCAAGTCCTTTTCCGGGGTTACTTCCCTTTCTTCTTTAATGCCACTAGGACCAGCTTCAGAGTCACTGGACCTCTGTCGCACAACAAATCGTCCCATAGAGCTCTGTACCTCCCTTCCTTTACGATTTGTCTAAAATGGGCCATAACATTGTCATGAAATAGTCCCCAGCACGGCTTGCAACAGCTTTTGTCAGGGTGATTTTCATCCATAAAAGGGTTTGCAGTTCAACCCACTGTGCACACATTTCCTTAATTTTTGAAGTAGGCACAATGGATTCCACAACTGGCATAGCTTCTCAGGGTTTTGCCCCAAACCCTTCAAAATCTTTCTTAATTTCCATACTAATTCTCACCCTTTTTACCACAGGGTTGGCACTAGAAGCTTTCTTGGGGCCCATGGTCACTTATTTTCCAGAAACAGCACCGAAAACACTGTAATAATACGAAATATTCCGAGTGTATGCTTGAATGTTACCGCGGAGGCTGGCTGGTAAACAATGGGACGGGCGGCACATGTGAGGCTGGCTGAGGCCGCACATTGGACGCGTCTCGGACGAAGGTCGCTGAGCGGGTTTTTGTCCACTATGCGGGGCAAAATTTTAGCGAACAAAGCGTTCGTATGCGGATTGTTCGCTATGCAAGGCGTTCGCTATGCGGGGGTCCACTGTACTCTTCCCTCCTTGCATCACTTCTACTTTGTAAAAACTTCTCATATGCTAACTTTTTCTCCCTTACTACTCTCTTCACATCATCATTCCACCAATCGCTCCTCTTCCCTCCCGCACCCACTTTCCTGTAACCACAAACTTCTGCTGAACACTCTAACACTACATTTTTAAACCTACCCCATACCTCTTCGACCCCATTGCCTATGCTCTCATTAGCCCATCTATCCTCCAATAGCTGTTTATATCTTACCCTAACTGCCTCCTCTTTTAGTTTATAAACCTTCACCTCTCTCTTCCCTGATGCTTCTATTCTCCTTGTATCCCATCTACCTTTTACTCTCAGTGTAGCTACAACTAGAAAGTGATCTGATATATCTGTGGCCCCTCTATAAACATGTACTTCCTGAAGTCTACTCAACAGTCTTTTATCTACCTAAATTTACCTAACTACGTACTTGATAAAATGACCTCAGCATATGCTGAGGTTTGCAGCTAGACTGATATTTTCACTTAAAACTGGAATTCTTCCTAGTCTCTCCTTGTATGAGATGTATTGGCCCCCTTTGAAGGCAAAGATTGAATTTAAACTGTATTAACATTTAAAGTAACTTTTACAAAGGGCCTGAGAATGTTTCTATGAAGCGTTGTGAACCTTTTAGATGATTCAGCCTCGTGCTGTAGGGAAGAATACCTTCATAGAAAGAGCCTTTGCTTATGTAGCTCCTAGACATTTCAACAGTTTTTTAATGTCTGTTCATGTTTTCAAATCTCAATTGAAATGACATCTTTTTCCCAAAATGTATTTATTTTAATGACCATACTGTCACCATGTTACTGGATATTTCTTTATCATTGCTGCATTTATGGTTTTGTGTGTGAGTGACTGTAATTATGTTTTAAAGAACAGGCACTCAAGAATACCAATCTCATTTATATTATAATTAAATAAAGACAATTACTTGTAGACAAATACAATAAATTACAGTATATATACTTTTTAAATTAAGCATTATCAACTGCTTAAATATTAATTTTACAGCCAAAATCATAGTAATGATAATACTGATGAACTACCAAGCATCAGGAGGAGGAGAGCAGCTCTTGGAGGGTACGAACCAGTACAACTCCCTGATCAAAATATTAATAAAGTGGCAGAGTTTGCTGTTAAGTCAATAGATGCAAGGATTAATGACCCTAATGTCAGGGTTGTTGAGAAAGTGATAAGTGCTCAAAAGCAGGTCAGTAAATTTAATTTGATGTGGGTATATACAACACAATATTTATGTTATTTAAAAAAAAAAAAAAAAAAAAAAAAAAAAGTCTTGCTTTCGTTTTACACTCACTTGGCAGGACGGTAGTACCTCCCTAGGCGGTTGCTGTCTACCAACCTACTACCTAGGACAAAACAATATTAATGTTATTTAAAAAAAAAAAAAAAAGTCTTGCTTGTTATATATGTGGTGTTTAATATGTAATTATGAAAATGCAGAGGATTCTTGTAGTTATGTGATTATTATTATTTTGAGCAGATAGTAAGTGGCATAAACTGGAAACTTCAAGTACAGTTAAGCTGGACAACATGTAGGAAAGAGGAAAAAGTTCAGGACCTGAGCACCTGTCAGAAGGACCCCAGTAAACCCAGCAGTATTTGCAATGTTATTGTTTATGAAGTACCATGGAAAAACCATATGGAAGTGACTGACACATCATGTACAACTGTGGAAGATGATACGTGAGTAATTATAAAGCACACTTGAGAAAAGCTTAACATTACCATTACTGCACAAGGTTTATTTTTACAATGATCCGTGCATTCAACAACACTTATTTTATATTTTACTTCCACAAAAAATTTATATATTCAGTATATCTCTGCAGTTAAAAATGTCTTAGTAAGCAAAGTATCCTGGTTTGTATCTATGCACCTGTCTCCTCTCAAATTATTTTTTGTAACTGTTTGTGAATTTGCCTCATTACTTGTTAAATGACCTCAGCCTATACCGAGGTTTGCAGCTAGACTGATACTGTAATAAAGTTGGTAGAAATGCCGACAATATGTAAAGTAAAAGGACACACTTTATAGATTGATACTTTTACTTCCAACTGGAATTCCCACTAGTTCCTACCTCTTTGAGCTTTATTGGCTCCCTATGAAGGCAAGAATTGAATTTAAACTCTTTTTATTAACATTTAAAGTTTTAATCTTAATCAACCCAAATATCTGGCTGATATGCCAATACAGTGGACCCCCGCATAACGATCACCTCCGAATGCGACCAATTATGTAAGTGTATTTATGTAAGTGCGTTTGTACGTGTATGTTTGGGGGTCTGAAATGGACTAATCTACTTCACAATATTCCTTATGGGAACAAATTCGGTCAGTACTGGCACCTGAACATACTTCTGAAGTGAAAAAATATCGTTAACCGGGGGTCCACTGTACCTTTTACAAAGGGCTTGGGAATGTTTGTGAATTGTTGCAAACATTTTAGATGACTGAGCCTCGTGCTGTTGGGAAGAATACATTCACAGAAAGATCCTTTGCTTATGTAGCTCCTAGACAGTTCAACAGGTTGTTAAGATTTTGGAATCTGTTCATGTTTTCAAGTCTCAATTGAAATGACATCTCTTTTTCAGAGCTAATTATTCTAATGACCATACTGTCACTCTTGAATATAAACTTTAGTACTGGGTATTTCTTCACTGTTGCTGCATTTATAGCTTTGTGTGCAAGAGCCTGTGATTTTTTAAAAGAACAGGACTCAAGAATAGGACCAATCCCAAATTATTACAGTATTAAAATTATTTTTATTATTATTAAACTAAGGCAATTATTTGTAGGTGAATACAATATAATACAGTATACATTAATATTATTTGGTTCTTGTTCTTCCTTTCCTCTTATCTATATGGGGAAGTCAAATAGAACTCTTCCACCATAAGCCATGCATGTTGCAAGGGGCTAGTAACCACTTCTCCTGTATATATTTTACTAAAATTAAAAAGAAAAGCTTTCGTTTTCCTTTTTAGGTCACCTTGCCTCGGTGGGATATGACTGGTTCATTGAAAAAAATCAAATTTAATATTTTTTTAATTTACCATAAAGTCAACTGTTTACATATTAATTTTACAGCCAAAATCATAGTAATGATAATACTGGTGAGCTACCAAGTATCAGAAACAGGAGAGCAGCTCTTGGAGGGTATGAGCCTGTACAACTCCCTGATCAAAATATTGATAAAGTGGCAGAGTTTGCTGTTAAGTCAATGGATGCAAGGATTAATGACCCTAATGTCAGGGTTGTTGAGAAAGTGATCAGTGCTCAAAAGCAGGTCAGTAAATTCAATTTCATGTGACTATATACATTATTAATGTCATTTTATATAAACAAGTATTACTAGATATACAATAAATAGTGTTCAACATGTAATTATGAAAATGCAGAGGATTCTTGTATTTATGTGATTATTATTATTTTGAACAGATAGTAAGTGGGATAAACTGGAAGTTTCAAGTACAACTGAGTTGGACAACATGTAGGAAAGATGAACAAGTCCAGGACTTGAGCACCTGTGAGAGGGACCCCAGTAAACCCAGCAGTATTTGCAATGTTATTGTTTATGAAGTACCATGGAAAAATCACATGGAAGTGACTAACACATCATGTACGACTGTAGAAGATAAGCGAGTACAGTAATTATAAAGCACACTTGAGGAAAGCTTAACCTTACCATTACTGTACAAGGTTTATTTTTACAATGCTGAGTGCAGTCAGCAGCTCACATTTGTTTTATAGTTTACTTTTTACAAACAGTGTTAAATCTTGCAATTTATATACTATTCATTATCTCTATGCAGTCAAAAATGTCTTTATAAGTGAAGTATCTTAGTTTGTATATATGCATTTGTCTCCTCTTAAATTGATTTTTGTAACTGTTTGTGGGTTTGCTTAACTACTTGCTAAAATGTCCTCAGACTATACTGAGGTTTGCAGTTAGACTGATACATATTTTCACTACCAACTAGAATACCCAATGGTCCCTTGCCTTCAGGTGCCAGTACTGACCGAATTTGTTCCCATAAGAAATATTGTGAAGTAGATTAGTCCATTTCAGACCCCCAAACATACACGTACAAACGCACTTACATAAATACACTTACATAATTGGTCGCATTCGTAGGTAATCGTTATGCGGGGGTCCACTGTATATACGTTTTTTCAACATTTGAAAGTATTTAAAAAAATGTAGATCTTCTTTCTTGTTTTACATTTAAAAATGTGCAAAAAAAACTTTTATCTACATTTTTTTTTTTTATTTTTGAAAATATGTAAAAAAAACGTAGATCTACTTTTGGAGCACTACGGATTTGAACATCGATTTGTTTGGACCGTTTAAGAGTTAAAAACATGCCAAGCCAGTATCTTCTGTCTACATAGCTTTCCATTCACCTGTGACTAATGCTTTATTTATTTCATTTTTAAGTCTGCTTGAAATATATTGCATAACTATGGGCTTTTCCTTGTGTGACAGAAAAATATATATGTATACTGTATGTAATGCCATGGAAAATAAGATTTACTTTTCTTAAAAGTTGATTCAATATTTCTGACACTCTCAACGTGATACAAATAATGAATCTATAATTTGTAATTGAGAATTATAATGCAGTAATGGTTGTCAATTAAAAATATATTGTTTATTCTTCATTTAATGACAATTTATTGTTTAAGTGTTTATAATTAGATTGCAATTTCAGGTAGAATATTCTAGTAAACATTCTGAATGATTGTAAGGTATTTTGTTATTTCCTTTCGAAATATAGCCTTCACAATGATTTTAAAAATTGGTGAAGTATGTTGAAATGATAGTTTCAAAATATTGAAAATTTTCATGTACAGTACATTATTCACAATTGTGAACTTGAGTTTGACAAACTGGAAAACAAAATGCCTTTCATATAATCAGGATTATAATAGTAAAAAAAAAAAATATGGCACACAGCCCATTCAGCAGTGCATGGTATGGGCAATACTTACGTTAAAGAATAGTGAAATTTGTGGAGAGGAGGTCACAGTGTATGATGTCAGCTGTAGTTAGGAAGTCAGTAAATCTTCATTAAGGGTACAATACTTTCACAATCTATTGCCTCTGACAAGCAAATTGCACTTCAGAAACCTGAGGAATAGTAATCATTTGCCCTTATCATGAACAAAAAACCATGCCTATGCTAGTGAAGCCATATTTAAGATCATTCCATTGATACCAAGGGTTATGATGTTGTTACAAATAAAGAATATAACTCTCATTCTATGTAGTTTGTGCCTTCTTATTTAGCCTCTTCCTTATTTGTGTATTTCAGGTAAAGATTTACTTAGTGGAACCCAGAATATGGACAACATGGGTGTGAAGCATGGGTTTTGAACAATGCAGTTGAAATGTGTTTGAGGGCAATGTATGGTGTGAACATTATGCAGAGAATTTGTAGTTTGGAGATTAGAAGGTGTGGGGTTACTAAAAATATTATCCAGAGGACTGAAGAGGAGTTACTGAGGTGGTTTGGACATCAGAGAGGATGGAGCAAAGTAGGATGACTTGGAGGGTGTATAAATCTGCAGTGGAAAGGTGGGGTAAGGGTTGTAGTAGGTTCGCCAGTCTTGTCCCGGCCCCGGTCTTTCCCAGATGTTGACCTGGTGAGGTAAGGGTTATCCTAGGAAATGCTGTAGGGAGGGGAGGGCACAAGAGGTTTTGTATGTGAAGAGCTTGGACATCCACAGGCATGCGAGTGTGTTACATAAGAGTAGCAGCAAGTGATTATCATGACTTTACATGCTCTTGTAGTAAGAGCAAGGTGATATATATGAAGGGATTCAGAGAAAACTGGTTAGCCAGAGGTGTAAATACACTGCCTGCACTCTGAAGAAGAATTGGGAATATTACAGTTTGGAGGGGCATTCGACACGTAATGTCAGCATGCCTCTGGCAAGACGGTGATCAAGTGACCAATGGTGAAAGTGTTTCTTCTTTTTTGAATCATCCTGTCTTAGGGGGTGATGGCCAGCATGTTAAAAAAAGGAACAAAAAAAATTTACTGTATACCATGTAGGCTTTTTAACCACATTGGCCATCTCTCACCAAAGATGGCCCAATAAACAGAAGGAAATTATTAACATGGATCAATTTCTGGGGTAAGAATAACATTAAATATATCAAGAAGAAATAAGAGTAGCACAACATTACAGTAATTCTTTGGTTTACAACACAATTTCTAAAGGAATGCAATCTAAAGACTGCTATGCTTGTATACCTGCAGACAAGGAAACTAGTGGATGGATGGATAGATAGAATGGTTAAGATTAAACAAATTCAGGTAAGGCAAGAAGAATTAATAGAGAAATTAAATAAGGAAAAATGCATCTTTAAAATATGAAATAGATTTAAAGGCCTCCTTACAGCAAATTCAAAAGACATTATGCAAGCAAGCTGAGACAATAAATTAGGGATTTTCTATAAATAAGACTAATACTGATAACAAGATTAAAGGTTCAAGAATAACTAAATATAATACAGAATTAGAACAGTAGGTGCAGCTAGAAGAGGATATTTCTGAAAGTTAACAAATCATAGAACAGGTGGGGTTTCAACCCATGGTGAGAGAGTTCTAAAACTCCAGGCTTGTACTTGTGCTTATGCACTGGCCTGGATTCAGACCCCACCCATTCTGTGGTTTGTTTGCAATCATGTTATAATTTTGATAGTCATTTCTGAAAGTGTTAGCAAAAGCTTAAGAAAAGGAGTAGGAAGGTCTGAAAGAATACAGTGGTACCCCAAGTTTCGAACTTATTTCATTCCAGAATGCTGTTCAAGTGCCAATACTGAACGAATTTGTTCCTGTAAAGAATAATATAAGTCAGATTAGTCCATTTCAGACCCCAAAAAATACACTTACAAACACACTTACACAAATACACTTATGTAATTGAAGAGTTGGGAGCAGTTCGAAACTCGGGGTATCACTGTACATGTAAATCTATGATCAAAGATAGCTTTGCAAAATTCACTAGAGGAAAGACAGAAAATGAACAACAGATGGTATTAGCTAAAGAATTCACTGCTGGAGCCAATATTAGTCAAGAAATTAAAATAGAGTGCAGATAACTATGTTATTGAGGGGTGCTGTTGCTAGAGATAAAACAGGTACATTTTTTATTGAAAAGGAAATACAATCACAAACAGAAATAATTAAAAAGGAAGAACACAAACTGTGGATTTTGGCTTTCAATAGCATATTGTGGTACAGAGGTCTATTCGAAAATATTAGGACAAGCATACGCCAATGAAAATAACATTTACACACACTGAATATAAGCAAGAAATTTTCATAAAAGTTAGGATATCAAAGAACTGGAGCACTATAAAGCTATACAAATTAGACAAGATCTTTTGAAGGAGGATATGGCAAAAATGCAAGATTCCATAAACACTGCTAGGAGGTTCAATGTGGACAGATTTTTTTTTTAATAACAGGACCATAAAATTCATTAAATAATTTTTCAAAACAACGACAATTAGATAAAAATCATACTGAAACAAATGAAGAAGGGAAAAAGTGAGAAAAATAATTTTTGGAGATTTTATACACTAATCAAGATTGAGTAATCTCAAAGAGACTGATACAGTTTGTCTAACTGAAACCAAACTGGAAAAAAACATACTTTTATGAAGTTGTTTGCATTTGACAGAAATTACTCAATTTGGAGAACAGAGTAGGGAAGAAAAGAGCACATGTACTGGCAATGCTGCTAAAAGACTTATGAAAATTTAAATTCAAAATACTGAAAATACTGAAATTTTTGGGATAAGAGTACAAAATAAAGATGAAAAATTGATCTGGATGTGGATTCGTGCTAGTTTTTAGTTACGAGGTGGAAAAAAAAATAATGTATTGTTGACGGGGTTCAATCTCAGCAATAAAGACATAATGACCAAGAATGAGAAGGTTAGGTAAATTTTTTGGGGGGATACGTATTTCTATAATCACGGGGGAGCACTAAACTCGTAGGATTATACAGCGCCTGTGGGGGAGGAGACGGAAGGTATTCTGGCTTAATTTAGGGAACTGAAGCACAGATCCAATTCCCTAGATCAAGAGCCCCTCACCAGCATCAAGGAACCTCCCTTGAGGGGTTGGGGTGATAAAGATCCATTTTAATGAGGTAAACCGCTAAACCCACAGAGGATCAGAGCGCCTGGGAAATGGTAGAACATTCAGATTTAATTCAAGGAAGGGGAGGATTACTCCAATTCCTTGGATCAAAAATCCCTCACTGATATCAGCATCGAGAATATAAAACAATACTCACCACAAGTCTTCGTCTTCTTGATGGGATTTTCATTTTCACTGACATCTTGCTTCCTATGTACGGGTATTTGTTGCCCAAAGCCGAGCCATGAAGAAAAAAGTAACAAGAGTCTCTTTGTAAATAGAAATAAGAACTAGAAATTCCCAATTAGATCAGGTGGACCCCCATGCCAAGCCCCAGCAGAGACTCCACACCCTCACCTGAGTTAAGTAACAAGTTTCCCACCGAAAATGGAGCTGGCTAAAAGAAAGTTGCAGCGCTGTATAGCCCTTGTGGCTTAGCGCTTCTTTTTTATTATAATAATAATAAAAGAAAGTTGATGACTTAGTGCTCTCCTGTAATGTTGCGGGCGGGCAGTGTAGATGATGACAAGTGTCCCAGAGACACCAGGGAAACATTGTCAAGTCTTCCTCCCTCCACCTGTTGACCACTAGTGTTATTGTTGGTGTTATTCACAACCATCAATACTGACACTACCCTCAAGGAAGGTTCCTTGATGTTGGTGAGGGGCTCTTGATTTAGGGAATTGGATCTGTTCTCCAGTTCCCTGAATTAAGCCTGAATGCCTTCCACATCCCCCCCCCCCCCGGCGCTGTATAATCCTCTGGGTTTAGCGCTTCCCCTTTGATTATAATAATAATAATAATACTGACACTTTCAAATTCAAATGTTTATTTCTCTGTAAAGATTACAATGGGTGGTTTACACATTATAAAACAATAATTACAAATTATTATTATTATTATTATATTCAAAAAGAAGCGCTAAAATAATTACAAAGATAGCCATTAGCAAGCCCAGGCATTCGGGTAGAATAATACTAATTCTTACTATATATTACAAATTGGAAATGGATTTATAATAGAGGTAGTTCAGAACATTTAAGAATATAACAATATTGAGCTCTAGCACCACCTGGGAGTCCGGGAAGAAAATATTACTTAGGCATGCTAGTGGCTTTCTTTGTGCTTAACAATATTTTATAACATGTAAATCTCGCACTGTATAATATGCAGAAAAATAAAATTTGTATTTGTAACTGTATGGATCCCAGATCTAAACACCGGCAAAATAGACATCTTATTCCCTGAGCAGTACATATTGCACTCAAACGAAGTTCCTTGATGCTGGTGAGGGCTCTTGATCTAGGGAATTTGATTTGTGCTCTGGTTCCCTGAATACCTTCCATCCCCCTACCCCACAAGCACTGTATAGTCCTACGGGTTTAACGCTCCACCATGATTACCCCTCAGGGAAAGTTCCTTGATGTTGGTGAGGGGCTCTTGATTTAGGGAATTGGATGTGCTCCAGTTCCCCGAATTAAGCCTGAATGCCTTCCACATCCCCCCCAGGCGCTGTATAATCCTACGGGTTTAGCGCTTCCCCTTGATTATAATAACAGGTCTGCACTCCAGCGCCGCCGTGTAAGTCTGACTTCTTGACAATAAGTAAGTTTATTTTGACACAGGTACACGTAAGTACAATTATCATACATAGTGTAAATTACCTAGGATAACCCAAAAAATGACTAGGAGTCCAGGAGTGTCCCCGAGGAGTGAGTCTCAAAGTGAACAAGGTGAAGAATGACGCCGTGTTGAGCTCTGCTTCCTGATGTACGGGGAAAACAATGTTGCCAGAAGCTGACGATGAAAGAAATGTCTTCAGTTGTCGCTTGAATGGCTAGTTTATTATGCACCTGCAGTTCCTCCTGTGAGTAGTAGCCCCCTCCCCCCCCCAAAAAAAAAAGAAAAAAAAAAACAGAATTACATAGGTCACAATAGGCTCTGGTGGCTAAAGCTCGCGCTTCACACTGCGAGGGTCTGGGTTCGATTCCCAGCCAGGGTAGAAACATTGGGCGTGTTTCTTTCCACCTGTTGTCTATGTTCCCCATCAGTAAAATGGGTACCTGGGTGTTAGTTGACTGGTGTGGGTCGCATCCTGGGAC